GTTGGAAGGTAGTTCTGTGAATGCAATACTTTTTTATATAAATGGCACAACGCTTCGATTCACAATACGGGAATTTGCCATTATTTCTGGTTTGAATTGTTCTGATAATGGTGCTGACTTCAACTTTGATACTGATCAACCCAATAGAATCATCGATGAGTATTTTTCAGGAAATTCTCATGTCACTAAAGCTCGTTTGGCTGAAGCTTTTAAAGCAAAGGTATGGGGTGACAATCAGGAAGATTCATACAAGTTTGGGATTCTATATTATATACATGAGTTTTTCATGTCCGCAGAACCTACTACAACAACAATAGATAGGTTGGACTTTGATCTGGTTGAAACAGGTAGATTTATGGATTATCCTTGGGGTCGGAAGGCTTTTAATGAACTTGCTAAATCCATAAACAACAAGATAAATCCATGTGGACAGTACTACAGAATTCAGGGCTTTCCACTTCCAATGCAAGTTTGGTTCTATGAATGTTGCTCTTATGTTGATGACAAGATTGCTATCAAGGTTTCTAGTCACATTCCTCGGATTATCAATTGGGTGACTAAGAACGACCATCCTCGGTTTGATTATTTCATGAAAACAATTTTTAATGATGCAGATAATCCGGTATGCATTTACTTAATACAACTTGTAAATTATAGAAGTTAGTATACATTTACTTACTACAAATTGTATATTACATTTTTATTATATTGAATTATAATTTTTCATTATTATGCAGATTAAGTTCAGAAATATTGTGCCAACAGCGATGGAAATTAAAATCCTCAAACTTCCAGAATCGACAGAACAATCAATGTCTCAGGGCCTGCAGACTGATCACAATAAAGTTACAAATCCGGATGATGATTTCCAAAACCCCCCAGTATAACAAGCAGAAAAGGAAAAGAAAAAGTTATTGAATGTTCTTCACCGATTAGGAAAAAGAAAAAGCAATCTGTTACAATCATCTCTTCAACAAAGGCAGTTAAGACATACACACGAAGATCAATGGCGCGCAAAGCCACACGATCACAGGCCATCAATATCAACAGTGTTGCGAAACGCAGTGATGCAGGTACGTCACACAACAATGAAAATGTAGAGCAGAAAAGTGTACAAGATAGAACACAAATGGGGCAAATTAAGAAGTCAACAAGCATTACAATATCGCGTGATGAATTTGAAGCATTCAAAAATGGGTACTCAAATATACAATTCAAATATATGTTATTTGAAAAGATTATATACAATTATTAATAAAATATGCACCTTTTTCACATAGGTCAAGGACGAGTTCGCTGATTTGAGAAAAATGCTTGAAGACAAATTCAAAACAGTGTTGGAAGCCATGAATTCCAAGGTATCACATGTATAAATTTTTTGTTTTAATTATTTATATACAATATACTTTATACTTATGAATACAGTTGTATATATTTTTTTCCAGGGTAATGTCGTCAATGATGATCAAGAATCACTCATCGGAGATGTTCATCACAAGCCCACATACACTCCACATGAACCCCAAAGTCATTCTGCAAATGTGACAGAATAAGAGGTATTATTTTTCTTTATTTATACATTAATTCAGTTTATACACATTTTGAAATGAAATAAAATAAATTGTATATAAGTAAATTCAGTTTATAGACATATTGAAATTAAATAATTAAGAACTATATACTAGTATAGCTTAAATTATACATCAGCATATTACTTATTTTTATACTGAATATACTACAACATATTTTCTTATATTGTTTACATTATAATGAGGCTACATTTGAAGATGTCATGCAAGAAACGCATATCACTCGTGTTCATTAGTTAAATACCAAGTCTTCACAGTTAGGTGCACAAAAAAATCCGATAGGTCATCAAAGTGCATTAAAAGATCGTGAGGTATCCGTAAATGATTATATACATTTTAAAATTTATTATAATGGTTTATAATCAATTTGTTAGATATTTAAGTTATTATTTTCTTTTTAAGCTGGGAGATAACTTGCAAGAACTAAACCAGAATTCTCCACTGTTGGATCATGTTGTTTTGGGTGATAATTTGAATGATGTAAGTGGCACTGCCTCACAAGATCAATTAGTGTTGTATGCTAATGTGGATGCCCAGCAAAATGCCCAAAGGGAAACTGAAAGTAGCTCAAACAGTCGGGTAATATATAACATATACAATGCTGCATCTCACGAGCGTATTGCAGAAGCAGAGGAGTCTATTATAGTTGCAGCGCCTATACAAATGGTATACATGCCTGATTCAAATCAGGAAACAGTTGTAACTGAATCACAGGATGAATTGCCAGTCCATCTTCTTCCAAGCGTGAACACACTGCAAAACATTGTATTACAAAAACAAGTTGAAGCTGAAGTAACACTCATGCCAGCTGTTAGGCATAGACGCCCAGGTCCATTCAACATATCTCCGTACATGACTTCGTTTGGTTCGGATGCTGGTAAGCAACAATTATTTATGTTTACATTTTCATAAATAAGCATATTGTTTGCATGATGTAAATATTTATATACATATCTTTTCAGGTAGTTCGTCCCGACAGCCAGTTGTGTTTTACATGAAACATCCATTTGTTTCATTGTCTGATAAGGAAGAGTCTGATTTGTTTTCAAATTTTTGGATATGGCTGAAAGAAGACTTACTCGTCAAGCATTACAAAAAGTAACATTTTTTTTATACACTTGCATTTTTTATTGTTTATTTTGTGTAGTTATTTTGTATTATGTATAATAGAAACTATGCGGAGGATCGCTACAAGAAAGGAAAGGCAATATTACCACAATTATTTAATTTTGGTGTAGCGACAATTGACAACAAGAATTGGTTCTACAATATCGGGTTTGAACGCCAGTTGATTGATAACTCAGTATGTTTCCGTTTTTATATTATTAAAAATATTTAAATTAAATAAAATTGTATAATGTATAAATTATAACATTATTACTCATTATATCACATCACATAGATGTCTTATTCTACTATATAAGGAAAAAGGCCAAATACTCCAACAGTAGCACATACAAATTCACAAATCTATGTTGCAATTTCAACACTGTTTTTCTAAATGCTTGGAATGCATATTATGGAATAAAAGGTGACCTTTATAAGGAAGTGTTAGACGAGATGATTATTGATTATATTAATGGATACAAGATGCTAGCGTATGCACCATGGCACACAGTCGATGATGTATTCATCCCGGTTAACTTAGAAGGCAGGTTACATTGGATTCTGATTGTCATATCTTTCAATGATCGATGCATCAAGGTGTATGACTCAATCAACAATTCTCTTCACCACTCATTTGTTGTCAATCACATCAAGAAGTATGCACAGCTTATACCAATGTATCTTGTAAAGTCTGATTTCTATCAAAAGAAAGGTCTGGATATTGCAATCCACCATCGATATCAAGGTCATATCGTATATTATTCATTCGAAATTGTATATGTGGAAGACCTTCCCCAACAACCAGCTGCTAGTTTGTAAGTTATAAAATTCAATAAATTTATATTTTATTGAACATAGTTACACTTTAAATAGTATAATAACAGTTGAGCTGTTTTTTATATAATTTTTTTAGGGACTGTGGAGTGTATGTTGCGTCATACGCGGAGTTCTTGAGTGAGAGGAAAGACATTCCAGCAGTTTTAGACCCAGAAGAAATTCGCCTTAGATACGGTGCATTGTTGTGGAATTACGGCAATCAAAAGATACAAGCCGGAGCTGTCAGTGATATTGAAGCGCCTTTAAAACCCGTCATGAATCGCACACAAAACAACAGTTCTGAAAGGATTACAATCCAGTAGGTTGATACCTTAGTTGTTGTTTTGGTTTTTGCGTTGACAGTTTAAATATTAGTTGTAGATTAACAATTTTACGATAATTTTTGTTTTAATTAACTCGTAATATCATTTTCTTTGTTTTGAACTATCATTTTAGTGTTATAAAAATATATGACACTATCTTTTTGTGTTATTTTGTATAACGTAGCATATAAATAAATATATACATATACAATTTAATTGTATAAAAACTACTTTTAAAACTAAGTGTCTTACATTTACGAATTTGTATAACAAAAGATATACGGTCAGGTTTTTATTTGTATATATTTTATAGTCGCACTCATTTCATTGTATAAGGTATATACTCTATATTAATGTTCAGGTTTTTATTTGTATATAGTATATTATTAACTGTTATATTCACATAAATAAATACATATATATATATATATATGTTGTTCAGGTTTTTATTTGTATATAATATATACTAGCACGTATTCAATGTATGTTATTAAATGTATATGCACATACAATTAGATTGCTATATATATATATATATATATATATATACAAATTCAATCTTATGGAATAAATATACATGTACAAATTGCAAAAGATATATGTTGTTGAGGTTTTTATTTGTATATAGTATATAATAGCACTTATTCATTGTTTTTATTAATTATATATGCATATTCAATATGTAGTTCAGGTTTTATTTGTATATAGGATAAAAGAGTTTTATTTTTATATGATCTACTTATTTAGTGTTGAACATTTTATCATGTTGCGTGCATATATACAAATTTAATTTACGCATATTGAGTATAATATTTACTTTTGTAGGTCATACAACACACACATTAATGTACAACACATAACAAAATTAAGACGTAGTTTAAGTATTATAAGTATACAAAAACAAAGATTTCAATTAAGTCATAATGCATATAGTTTCAAATCAAATTTAATCAGGAAAAAACAATCAGCCTTAAATATCTTTTGGCTTATTTCTACACGAACGCCTATTGTGACCTACCATTCCACATGTGCTACATGTATTTTTCCCCTTAATCCTTGATAACTCTCTTACTGTTTTTTTCCGAGGCTTACCCTTTGGCCTGCAAGGAGGTCTTTTAAATTTTGGAGGTAATACGTCATCAGCAATAACGCTATTCGGAATCAATCATGCCTTTACATCCGGTAAAGGATGTATAGGCATATTATATGTCTTCAACATTGTCATTGGTTTGTATAAATCCGAGCAATATTCATCTGGTGGTAGACTCTTCCATTTCAATACCGCCCAAGCCTGTTCACAAGGTATTTCCTCGTACTGAAATCTTCCACAGGTGCAAGTTTTTTCTTTTAGACAGACTACAAAATATCTCCCATCATCATTAACATTGTGCACATATTCCGTTAATGGTACAACCTGCTCATTTATAAATACAATTAAATGAAATGATGTTCATACTAATATATACAACTAAATTTTGTCAACACTCCTAAATATATACTTATTCTTAAATATTACCGCCATTCTTGTGCTCAATGCTTCATTGTCTGTTAGTATGTCATGGTATTTTCCAATCAATGATGTGAATGTGCAGGTTGCCTCCTTCTTGTAGTCATGATTCCACCTTTCAAGTAATAGCCTTACCTCTTCGAGAAATTCAAAAATAGGCAATTCTCTAGCTGAAACAAGTGCTGCATTTATACTCTCAGCAATATTTGATGTCATGTGCCATCCTCTATGTACTTGTGCATAACAAAGAGCCCATTTTTCATATCCAGCTAAATCCAAATACTCTTTCACTCTTATACCTTCTTTTTCTACAGTCTCCATTAACACATCAAATTCATTCTTTGTGCAAGCTTTTGCCATTGTATAGAATACACCAGATAACTTCTCATGATATTTTCTAAACTTTTTCTGAACGTTATTCCATAAATGCCACATACAAGCATAGTGTGGGACATTAATGTATACATTTGTAACAGCCTTTATAATGCTCTCATTTCTATCAGACACAACACACATGTTACTCCTCTCACCGTATGCTTCTTTAAGTTGCTCAAAAAATCAAGTCCACGCAGCATCATTTTCTGAATCGATAATACCATACGCAAGTGGAAATATATGTCCTACAATAATATCAAAATCATATATTAAATGTACATATACAACAGATTCACGTTTATACATATACATTATTACACACACACACACACACACACATACACACACACACACATATATATATATATGTATATGTATATATATATATATATATACCTGCGCCATCTGTCGTGCTTGCTGCAACAAATGTACCATTATATGGACCTCTCAGATGACTACCATCCACCACGACTACTGGTCTACAATGATTGAATCCTTGGATAAATGTATTCAATGCAACAAATAGATACAAGAACTCATTATTTGTACTCTTTTTCATACGTATATGAGACCCCGTGTAAGTGATATCCATCATATATCCCTCAAAGCTTTCAATGCTTTCTCCCTGGCCCTCCAAGCCATCATATAGTTAACATCAACTCCTAGATCAATCTTAACATCCTTTCTTATATCAGCTGGTGTATATTTACGTTTATGATCTACAAATTTAGGTTTCACAACCTCCTATTAAATTGCTAGTTACATGTTTTTGCGAATACTCTATCTTTTAAAAGACATGTATGCTTTTGGTTGAATGCTCGAATTCTGAAAATTCCAGATTTGTTGATATTAGAGGCCTTCATTAACCATTTACATTCTTTAGAAAAACATTCCAGAGTGTAACTGCATATAATTTTTAATATAGTATACAAATTTAGTTTACAATAGGCAATAAAAACATTTATACAGTTTAAAAGTCACTATTTGAGAGGCACACTACCTTATTGAATTTGACCGAGTAGTTTTATACTGAAATCTCTCTTTAATCGCATATCTTTCCATGACTGCTTTCAAAATTGATTTGTTCTTGTATACTTGATCAACCTCAACATGCTTATTAGATTCGTCTGAAATCACCCAAGTTATATCAATCGATAAAAATGCAACATTTGTATCCTCCGGTTCAACAACAATCATATCATGACAATCATTTTCTGCAACAGTTGCCAACACCCCCATCTCTTTACACTGAGAAATCTGTCTATCACATGAATCCAAAATAGTTATACAAATAGGAAATTTGTTAAAATCAATGTTAGCCTTTTTTAGCATTACGTACACTCTGACACCCATGTCATTGTGTATGACCATTCGTTTATTGCTTTCTTCAACCTTGTACTCAATCTTCAAAGTCTTATTATTCATATCAACACCAATTTGTTTGGCAATAGTAGTATAAAAATCAAGAAACGTTGACTGTTCCTTAAAAACTACTCCCTCTATAGTATAATCAACGTAACAATTTGTATCATCCCATTTTCCAGAATGCATAACCAAAATAGCTAATGAGTCCATTATCTGTACATTTATGAAAAAGAATATTTATATATATTTCAAATAATTCAATGAGATCATATATACAATTAATACAACAATTTTTATACAATCAAATTATTGAAATTTTATACTGTTAGTCTTTTTAATATAAAACACTACATCTACAATAGTGTATACTTCTTCCAAAAATAAATCGTATGACATAGAATTTTTATATTATTATTCTTCTTAATATACAAAAACTACATCTACAATAGTATATAATTCTATCAAAAATAAAACACATGATTTATGAATTTATACAATTATGAACACTGATATTAATATTGACGCTTTCAAAATATACAAATACCGCGAATCACATATACAATTACATGAACAATATATAATTGTATATTGCAAATTTTCAGCTTAACAATATCATATTTTGAATTTTTTTTTTTAAAAAAAACACTCACACTAACGAATGAACACAAATTCAGCTTAACAAAATCATATTTTGATTTTTTTAAAAAAAACAAACAATCGAAAACAATTCACAAATTCTAAAACCAATAAACAAGAAATTTCATCGAATAAAAACTTACCTGTATTCGATTGCCAAAATTGTTGAACTTCAATTTCACAAAGAGCAAAAAAAAAGTAATTATTTTTTTGTTTCAATGGCTGTATGAATTTTTTTTTGAATTTGAACGTTTGGCTTGAAAATAGGGACGTTTCCCTAAAATTGTGACATTATCTTGATTTATTGTTATCATATTTAATGCTTAAGTTACAAACAACTTTTTAAAATAGAATTGTATAAATAATAATAAAAAAATTATATACAAAATTAAAGACACCTTTAATAACTTAACTATATCCATATTATGTAATTAGGTAAACTATACCCATATAATGTTATTTAATCTAATAAGTTTGCCATATATGAAATTTTCCCATAAAACAATTACTTAAGTGGAGAACAAATGACTTTGTAATAATTTATTATAGGATTTATGATTTTTTATTTATTTGATAATATTGAATAAACAATTAGGTCTATTTTAACAGTTTTAGAACTTATGAGATTTTAATGTTTATGAGAAAATATACAACACCAAAATTCTATATCGCATGTCCAAACAAAACTTTAATTTCATCTCATGATTTCATATCATGATACTATATCATGATTTCTTATCCTGATACCACATCGTATGGCAAAACGGGCCCTTAGTATTAGCATAACTATATAGCAATGGTTCCTGTAACAGTTAGAACTCATTCCTTAAGGTATTCATACTGTTATAGTTACTTATCCCTCAGTAACGACACTTTTATATGATAATTGGCACAGTGAGAACCAGTGCATTTGATGTTTCACAACAGCTCCCTTCTCTTTATCGTAACAGATATGATATCTCAATAATACTTTTGTAACTGCTGTTTGTTGCATGTTGGAACGAACATGTTTGTTCAATTGCAGCGATTATTATGGCTTTGCAATGAATTTTTAGTATATATTTCAACAGATTTGAGAGCTCAATTGCACAGCTATATCATTATGGAACTAGTTTTTGATATTGATCAAAAAGGCTACTACAAGTGTAATTTTTTAACCTATTGTAACCGTCTTCATAAGTTCAACAAATGGTAGCAACTACTTAAGAAAATGCTATTGCAACAGCTCTATTTTGTTAGATAATTGCCATTTTTTTCAACTTGTTTTTTTACTGTTTTTAGTTATTTCATTTTAGTGCTTCTTATTTTCAAGTTAGACTTACAGTGTGTTTGGTATGAAGGAATTTTTTTTTAATTTTCTCATGTTTGGTTGGAACAAAAATTTGGGAAAATGTTTCCAGATTGACTCATTTTCCTCAAAATTAAGGAAATCGACTTCTCTTTAAAAATTAAGGATAACATTCCAAAACTCTTATCTAACTTGAAATTACATTTTTTTTAAAAAAAACATCAAAATTTGAAGAATATTTTTCATCCCACTCGTCGATCATCCCCCCCCCCCCCCACACACACCCCTCCCAAAAAAA